CACTGCTGGCTGATTTCACTTAGTATACGAGGATTTTCTGTAAATGGCTTTAATTAAGTTGCAATTTCCTTTAATTGCAGATGAACTTGTAAATCATTTATTAAGCCTTCCTATGTTTTAAGTAGGTCACATTGAATCCACAGGTCAATTTTATTTTTTTATTGATCAACATGAACATATAGGTTTCAGGTGTGGGTTTCTATGTTACAAGCTCTGTATATTGCACTGTGTACCCATCACCCAAAGTCAAATCTTCTGCTGTCACCTTATATTGGGACCCCCTTCCCCCCCCAGTAGATGGTGCTGAATCGCAAGATTTTTACCTCTTTGCTCTCCCAGTCTTGAACCTCCATGGCTTCTATAAGACCTTTCAGCTGTGCTGCTTGCGGGTGGGGTTTGTTTTGCCTTCAGCACAGTGGCAACCCCTGACTCTTTGGGGGCCCATCCCAAGCAACCCTCTTAGGGTTCAGTCCCAGAGGGATACAAGGATTCTACCGCAGCAGCTCTTGGTTTACAGATAATTTACTCCTGGACCCGACTCCAAGGGCAACAGGAGGCGAGTTTTGGGAGTCCAAGTGGCAGCAGGGCTCTGTGGTTCTGTTTCTTTGTCTGAAACACCATCGCCTGGCCTGACAGTGGGGAGCACAGAGCAGAACCCTGTCACAGTCTAATTTTAACAAAATACTAATGATAAATTTGTTTGCTCTATCAAGAATATTGTTATGGGAAATGTTAATGGATAGGAAGAAGAATGCTGATGACATTGTATATACATTTATAATACTTTATACTACTTTTAATGAAAAAAAATTAAGGTGACTTATGAAAGAAAAATAAAATTGTAAGAGGTTTTTTTTTTTTTACAAAGGTTTTATTGTCTTTACTTTTTTAACTTCCTTTTTTTTTTCTAGAGCATTCCACTCAAACTAGTAAACCACCATCTAAAGGCAATAAGGAATACGGTATTATTTTGACTATTGATGACTCTGCATTATGTGGCCTTAGAGTTCTACATGAAAATGGCATATTTCAAATATCTATAGTTAGAGAAGGAACAATCTGTCTCTAATGAGTGATAATTGACATTAATACTTATTTCAATGTTGCAAGTTCCTATTCAGACCTGTATATCTAAGCCTGAAATACTATAAGTTGGGTTTGTTTTTTCTATGACAGACTGGTGCACCACACTTCATGTAGGCTCACAAGGTTCACACAACATATGTTAAAGTATCTGATAAAGTATAGTTGTACCATTAATGAAATGTAAATATTACTAAATGAGGAAAGTGAAAAAAATATTGCTTTTATTTACATTAGATGTGTTTAGTAGGTTAACCTTTTTTTTTTTTTTTAAGAAAAAGTGTGGAAATTTATTGCAAGCATATACAAACTCCCACCTGGGGAAGGGTCTCCAAATGGGTAACCAGTGAAGTCTCTTTATCTAAGAGTTTATAAATGTTGGCCGCTTCTTTGTTCATGCTACTTTCTAATAGGACCCCTCCTCATTTTATAACCCCTTTGTCCAGAACCTATTCAGAGTATTCCAGATGCAGAAGGCTAATTGTAGTGTAGAGGCCCTGTTCAGAGAACACCAGATGTTCAAGGCCATTCTGAGCGTGGGAATTTTTTTTTTTTTAGATCTTTATTGTTCAGAGTATTACAGTTATTCCTCTTTTTCCCCCCCATAGCTCCCCTGACCTGGTTCCCACCCCCACTCTCTGCCTTTACCCCGCCACTGCCCTCATCCATAGGTGTACGATTTTTGTTCAGTCTCTTCCCGCACCCCTCACACCCCTTTCCCCCCCCCCCAATCGGTCCATTCCCTTTTTATGTCCTCCATTCTATTATAATCA